CAGCAGACGAGCGGGAGGCCGGGTGGGGATGGGGTTGGAGAGGCCGGGGAAAGGCCGAAGGAAGGGGGCGCGGGGCTTTGGGGGCGCAGACCCGGCCCATTAGAAGGGGCGGCGCCCTGGAAAGGGTGGTGAATTTTAACCCCCAGACACTCTCGCGTTTCCTGGGCGCGTCCCAAGCTCTCTCTGCGGGGCTGGTTACCCCGCCTAAGCCTCCGGAGACCCCAAAGCGCGGGCTCGACGCCTCCTAATCCACGCGGAAGTCCCCGAGGGACCCCGCGAAGGACCTCCCTCCCCCACTCGCGCACATACACAAGCCCATGTGGGAGCCCGAGTGACGTGTGAGCGGTGGTCATGCACCATCATTTCCCTTCCATCTTCCTACACGCTTCCTCTCCACCGCTCAGCTCCTCCAGTCGCCCAGCCGCCTCCCCTTCCAAGTTCAGACTGTGGGTGGGACCTGTTGCTTTAGCTCAGTTTCCTTCCCTCCAGGCTGCACGCTGAGGATGACGACCTCGGAGAGGTGTGTGTATGGGGAATAGAGGCGTCAGTGTGAGATGGGACTGATACCCGGCACGGAGGTGGCGAATCTGTTCGGGTGAGCCTCCAAAGCCCCCTTTGGCCACCTCCAATCAAGGAGACATTAAAGGAGGGGAAGAGAGGATATCCAGTGACCTGCTTCTGGCACATTTGATGGTTTGCTTCTTTCAATTTTTTTAGGAAACTGACTCCAAGAACCCTATGCTGGGGTTTTCAATTAGATCAGCGGTTCTCAACCTGTGGGTCGCGACCCCTCTGGGGGTCAAACAACCCTTTCACAGGGGTCGCCTAAGACCATCGGAAAACACATATATAATTACATATTGTTTTTGTGATTAATCACTATGCTTTAATTATGTTCAATTTGTAACAATGAAAATACATCCTGCATATCAGATATTTACATTACGATTCATAACAGTAGCAGCATTACAGTTATGAAGTAGCAACGAAAATAATTTTATGGTTGGGGTCACCACAACATGAGGAACTGTATTAAAGGGTCTCGGCATTAGGAAGGTTGAGAACCACTGAACTAGATGAAGGGGGGATCCTTTCACCACGTACACGTACATACAAATCACCATGGTGTACACTTTAAATATCTTACAATTTTATGGGGGTGGGGGTTAAAAAGAGAAACAGCACTTAATTTTACAATGGATTTTGGAAAACCAGTTTCCTTAAACTTCCAGATTTGGTCCTGCTGCTAATTATCCCCAGGGACTTGTAGCCTGGACCAGGCCACTGCCCTGGCTTGGCACAGCCCAGATGCCAGGCAGAGGACCAGGGGCATGCTTAGGATTCTTCAGTAGGGAGTGGCTGCCATCTCTTCAGGGTCCTAATGGGGACGGGGTGCAGAGACCCTGTGTTTAAGTGAGACTCTTTCCTCTCCTAGGTAGGCCTGAGCCAGGGAAGATAAGCTAATCTTCAGACTTTTCTGGAAACAGCAATCCTATGAATAACAGGAAAAGGGGCCTTGTGTTCTGGAGCTCTTTACAGGGCCGATTATAACTTAGAATGTCTTTTACGGTAAGATCTGTAAAGAGCCTGCCTGGTGCTCCAAATATGGTTTGCTCTAGAGTCCTGGGTCGGCTGGCTGCCCGCTGTGGGATGGAGGTGGCCCTATGAGTGTTCAGAGATGTGGATAGAAAGCATTTTGTGCTGGGAACCAGATAGCTGCTTTTCAAGTCACCATGTCATTTGGCAAGGCTTAGGTCAGAACAAGCTCCCTGCTCGGTGGCAGGACACAGGTAGACAGAGAAGTATTGATTAACGGTGGCAATAAGAGAGACTTGTGGCCTCCGTGCAATTTTCAGACATTGTGGGATCTCCTCAACCATTCACCCAATCTCCCTCCTGGGCTTCAGCTCATCCCCCTGCTGCCCAGATGGTCTGTGTTTGGGGAATGCGAAATAAGGCCTGAAGAAAACATTTGGCAAGGTAAACTCACTGCCAAAAATGCATGGCATTTTGAAGCCAACTTTGAACATCTTTGAATTACCTGTCCTTTTAAATTATTTTTTGACCAGATATTCTGGATCAGATGGGAAACTACCAGGTTTCCTTTCTTCTTTTCCCTTCATGCAAGGTGCCTGGCTAGCCCCGTCTCCATTCTGTTTCCAGCTTTCCATTGCCTGCCAAGAACCATCCCACTTTGGAACAGGAAGGCCTGCCAACTCCTAGGCCAGCAACAGTCGACAGATATGTCCAGCAGGATGGAGAGATGATTTGCCAAGTGATTGAAAGGTCCTGTCTTCCTGTTTACAGAAAGTTTCCTCAAGTTAGGGGCTTGGAGCTTACAGACTTAGATTTGTCCCCAGCAACCTTTGTAAATTAAACACCAGAGACGAGAGTAAAGTGAGAGCCATCCCAGATCAGCACCTTCCTCCATCAATCACCAAGTCCTGTCCCTCTCATAAATCCACTGTCCCCCACCCTGGTCTAGACCCTGTGTCTTGAAATTACTGAACAGTCTCCCAACAATCTTCGCCCATTCTCCTCTAGCAGTCAGAGTGGCCTTTCTCAAATGCAAATATGAGCAAGTCTCTGTCAGGCTTCATTACCGCCCCCCCTCCCCAACACCACCAACCAGGACTCCTCATTCCCCTTAAAGGAACTGCTCCCCCCTCCCCAACTTCTTTTGGAAAATTTCTATTCATCTTTCAAGTCTCAGGTGAAATGTCACTTTCTCTTGGAAGGCTTCTCTGATTCTCTATACCTGCCCTGTGGAGTCAAGTGACCTTCCCAAGCTTCCATGACACTCACTGCACTTATCACACGTGCTGTATGGAGGTTGCTGTTTAACTGCTTATCTTTGCTACAACTCAAGAAATCCATTTTATATCAAGACCCAGGCCACACATACCTTTACGTATATAAAAACATATGTAACTGAAAAAAAGTTTTATAAACTCTTATTTTGTAAAATCCTATCCTACTTCATTTAAAACAAAATCTAGGCACACTTTATTACATTGATCTCATAACCCTTAAATGGGTCAGGGCTCCTAGTGTTAGAAAATACTCTAAATTCCATGAAGGGTGTAGCCATTTCTATCTTGTTCATGGTAATTGGAGTGGAATAGGAGCTTCATCAATAGATGAATGCTAGAATTATTATATCAACATTCAATTCCTTTCATCCTCAAAAACCCTATGAAGAAACTCTCTTCCCCATTTATAGATTTATAGGTGAGCATGCTGAAGATGGTGAGGTTAAGTCCCTTGCTTAATGTAAAAAAGCTGAAAAGCCAGGTGGCAGAGTCAGGCTTTGAACCTGGGTAGTTTGGCTTCATCATCCTAGCTCTTAGTCACTCAGCTAAAATTCAGTATCCCTTGGCCCAGAGGCATATGGACGAATTTACCTGGCAAAAATACCAGAGGGGTCTCCTTGCAGCAACCTCAAACTCCTTCCACCTCCTGTCCTGCAGCGGCTCCTCGGGCAGCAGTTGTGTCTATGCAGAGAGGAAGGCAGCTGGCAAGAGCAGCTGTTCTCTTCTGCTCACATGTGCTCGACCTCCTCAACTGTCAACAAGTTCAGCGGTATTCAGCAAGTTGGGAGATTTCATTGTGCAGAGAGTACAGACGGCTCAGAAAATGAAACTCCCCATTGCTCTGAACTACATGCCTTTAGTTCCCCTCAGAACAAATCCTTGAAGAAGATAGTCACTGTGAGATTGGGTTGTTCAGTTTTGTCCTGGATGGGAAACTGCAGCAATACTCAAAGGGTAGGGGTGAGGGCACGCTCCTCAGAGGTCAGTGCTATTTACAGGATTTTGATCTGTAAAGCTCAGAAAATGAAACTCCCCATTGCTCTGAACTACATGCCTTTAGTTCCCCTCAGAACAAATCCTTGAAGAAGATAGTCACTGTGAGATTGGGTTGTTCAGTTTTGTCCTGGATGGGAAACTGCAGCAATACTCAAAGGGTAGGGGTGAGGGCACGCTCCTCAGAGGTCAGTGCTATTTACAGGATTTTGATCCGGACAACACTGGAGAAAAGACCTGATTGAAATACTTAAATATTAAGGAGTATAAATAGGTTGGAAACAGATATATTTGAAAAATTCCCAAACAAATTCTAAAGTTACTAGCCCTAATGCTAAACTTCTCTAAGTTGCGGCATTTAGAGTAACAAAGCAATGGCTGGCAAGGGGGTTTGTATTTCGTCTTTATTACATGAATTGCATGCAAATCACATGCAGTACACAGATGCTCTCCTATTTCATCACCTGAATGTAACTATGTGAGACTTTTTAAGCACTGTGGGCAAAGAGTCCTGGGTGTAGAACATCTGGGCTTAGTTCCCTGCCCTGTCTCTAACCAGCTTTGTGACCTCAGTTTCCTCATGAAGGAGGCTGAACTGCATGATCATGGTGCTAAGCAAATAGTAAGAATACATTGAATGAAAGACTGAATGAATGAATGAACTAACGGCTTCTTCCAGCTTAAAGACTCTTGGGATTTCATCCTAGACACTGGGATATCCTATATAATAAAAGCCCAGCAACTGAATGACGGAATGACCAAAACGACCGGTCGACCAGTCGCTATGATGCATACTGACCACAAGGGGGCAGACACTCGATGCAGGAGCTGCCCCCTGGTGGTCAGTATGCTCCCATAGTGGTGGGAGCGCCACTTGGCTGACTGGGACGAGCTGCACTCCCACAGCGGGCCAATCCCCACAGGCCACGCTCCCCACCAGTGCACAAATCCATGCACGGGGCCTCTAGTATAGTATAAAAGCATCTCTGAGTTTCATTGCCTTCCTTGTTAGGAGATACAAAGTTGATTCCTCCACTAACTAAAAACCAAGGTCCTTCTCCATTAAGTGGGTTGAATGCATAGTATTCCTTCTTTATTTATGTAGATCCAATGGGTTGATTTCAACGTATTAGTCTATATGTAAAGATACTTTGTAAACGAAAGAAAGAAAACAATTATATTTTAGGTGTACTAGTACAGTGGGGCCTTGACTTATGAGTGTCCCAACTAATGAGTTTTTTTGAGATACGAGCCATCTCTCGGCCGAATTTTTGCTTTGAGTTGCAAGCTCAAAAAAATTCGGGTTACGAGCCAGCTTCAGATACCCCACCACTAGTTGGCGCAGCGAACATCACAGTGATTTGACATACGAGTAATTTGAGTTATGAGCTCCGTCACGGAACAAATTAAACTCGTAAGTCAAGGCCCCACTGTATATAGGATCCATCTTCAGAGCTATACTTTAATGAAAAGAAAACTTTTAAAAACATTAACATCTTAAATGTTTTGATTTTCTAGCAAACCATGAGATTGCATTTCTCTCCTATGTTTTCCTCAATAAAAATGAAATGGCAAAATCTAGGCAACCTCGGCCCATAAAAGATAGCTCCAATGACCTATTTTCTAAACCTGAAACCAGGACACTTGGCTTGACAAATACAGTGCTTGCAAAACCAGGTGAATGTCTCTTTGAAATGAAGATTACCCTGAAAATTCTGTAGGCACTGGTGAGTAAGGCAACTCTAACTGCAGCAAAGAGACAGTGTCTCTATCAGAGAAAAGCCACATAGAGGGTGTCAGTCAGGAACTCAGCATATAGCCACACAGAATGTGAACTGCACCACACGTCCCTGCCAGGAGGGACAACCTGGCACCATTCGCATAGATGTAATTTTGCATGAAGAACGCCCCCTGGAGTTGTGCGGTGCACAATCTGCCCAACAGTCCATAGAGGCTCTATTGGCAATTCCATTGGTAGGAAGTTTGTTCCTATTGACAAGGTTGGAAGAGGAAGGCTGCTGTTCTTTTCCTAATAAAGTCAGACCTCAGATTGGATGGCACTGACAAAAATTCAACTTATCTACACTCTCCCAATCTTTCTTTTTCCAGAAGTTTTCTGTCATTGTATTCTACGTTCCTTAAGTTCCTAGCAATTCTTGAAAATGCAAGTCTATAAGCAACTCTGAATTTATTTTTTGAGCTTCACTGAAGGGTATGAATGACATAAAAGGACATTTAGGAAGAGCTGGGAAAGCTGGGAGACGCACGGCATGAGCTTAGGGAAGCATTACAAGTGATAAGTCCATGTGCACATCACCCCAGACAAGATGGGCTGCCTCAGAAATCATGTGCCTTATATTTGGATGTGTTAGGCTTGGACACTAGGAAGTGAAAACTCTATTCTGGTCACTTGTTGACACAACTCTGGAAGCATTATAAAATCAGAAAATAGCTCTGGCATTGTCAACGAAGTGCAAGCAGCAGAAATGCATCTGGAAGTGAAGAGGGAGCAGCGCAGTGGACCAGGAGTGACCTTCCAAGGCTCTGACTCTGACGAGCTCTGCGTTTATGGGCAAGATGGTCCCTGCAGGTCTTTGAGCCACGAAAGGAGATTTACATGAAATTGTCAGATGCCTCCAACCGTCAGTTAGGGGAGGTAAATGAGTGAACTAGGCAGTATTGGCAACAGGGCGGTCCAGGGTGAGTCACTGAACAGCACAGCACAGAAGCATCCATATTAAAATTCAGAACAAAAAGCAGATATATTCTCAGTTTATCCCTGGATCACCACTTGGACCTCTGCTCTCAGCTCTAGATCCCCGGAGTTCTAAGTCTGCATGAAAATGAGATAGGGAGACCAAACATCTTGGCTTGTACAGGACAGTCCTGCTTTATTCCTGTTGTCCTGGCATAATTATTAATGGTGCCCTACTTCACTCCCCAAAATGTCTCAGGCTACATGATAAATTATATTATCACCCAAGGTAAAGGGAAATCGCCAATGACTAAATACAAATATTTCCCAAATCTGCCCATACCTTCAGATGGAGTTAAGTAGGTTTGGTGGTGGTGTTTTATAGGTAGAAATTCATCTAAATAAGCTCCCAAAAATTCCTAACAGAAATGGTTCAATTAAAGCAGTATGGCAGGAATTTAAGAAGAACAGAAAAATATACAAGAGCCCGTCAATTTGTAAACAATGTTCATCTTCACTAACAATCAAACAAACAACAATTTCAATAATAATGAGGTAATGTTTTGTCCACAAAACTAATTAAAAATTATTTAAAACTATAATACTAAGTGTCATGATGGGTGTGATCAAAAGAACACTCATATACTGCTGGTGGGTTTATAAATTGGTTGATGCAAACTTTTTGGAATACAATGTGATAACATGTTTTATCACATGTGTTGGTTCACATGTGTATTTATAAAGTTTGTACCCCATGACCTGTTACTAATTCAACAAATTTATTGAGCCCCTACTACATGCCAGGCACCAAGACACTGTGGTGAAAGAGACAAAGACTATTTGCCCCAAATGGAACTTTAGTCCAGTGAAGAAACAGACATTTCATCGGGGAAATACAGGCTGGGGCAAAAGGAGGTTTACAGTTGTTCAGATGGAAAATAATACAATAGTTAATAGGTAATAATATAAGAATAAACGGTGTGTTTTGCGTACTCACAACTGTAAACCCACTTTTGCCCCACCCTGCATAGAACACTTTAGATGACAATTTGTAGGAGGTACCCGGGCAGTAGACTCAGGATGCTGAGAGCATGTAGGTAGTGTTGTGTTGGGGGAGGCATCCGGAAGAGGATTGATCTGCTGAAGAGGGGAGGAAGGGTGTTACGGGCAGAGGGAACATCTTGCACAAAGGTTTTGAGAAGGGAAGAAGCTGAGCAAGTTGAATAGCTGAAAGTGCACCATTAGGTTGGAGCAAGAGAGTAAGAGCCAAGGTGGCAAGAGGCGGGTTGCCATGAAGATATTTCTCCTAACAGCCATTTATGGGTTGTAAAAGCAGGTTGACATTTTTAGAAACGTTCTCCGTGGTGGAAACTTGCAAAGGGGATAGAAAAACAGAGCAGGACAGGAATGGAAACTGAGAGACCAATGAGGAAGCAAATAAAGTAAGTAGCCCAGGAATGAGATGAATGTGGCTTAAGAGGGGTTAGGGAGACAGAGAGAGATAGAAACATTAAAGATATATTTAAGTAGAATCAACAGGCCCTGGTGACTGAATAGGTGGGGGTGGTGAGGGAGAGAGAGACATCACTGATGGTTTCCCGGTTGTATCATAAGCAACCTAGTGGAAGGTGGTGCCTCTTTACTGAAATGGGCAAAAAGGAGGGGTGGGGTTTGGTAGGGGAGCAGGAGGGAAGATATGGAAACCTTTTTGGATATTTTCTATTTGAGATGCTGTGACACATACAAGTGGAGATGACAAGTAAGTATTTGGATGTGTAGGTCTGGAGCTTATGAAGAGAGATATGGGGGCTGGAGAGGTAAATATGGGCATCAGAGTACATAGATGGCATTTGAAATCTTGGGTATAACAGGCTCATCTGGAGACAAGTGTAAAGAGTAAGAAGGACAGGCCAAGTTTCTAGGTCTGAGGAATTCCGTCATTTAAAGATCTTGGAGAAGAAGAATGAGTATGTAAGAAAGACAAGGAACAGAATGGGGGAGAGAATACTTAAGTCTTTTTAAAAAGTCTAGCCCAAGGACACAGAAAGGAAGATGGAGATTTATGCATAAAGATGCTCACTGTGGCATTTACAATAGTGAAAAATTAGCTTCAACCTAAATGTCAAAAAATGGGAAGATGTTGAAATAAATTGTCTCATATTCATTCTGTGAAATAAATGCAGTCAAATGAGATGTTTTTGAAAATTATAACATTAAATGAATAAAAGAGGGTATACAATTATACATATAATGTGACCCACAATT